CCACTTAAAGTGACTGTGTACTCCTAAATTCTAATTTGTTATATTGTGAAACTGCACAATACAGAATAAAAAGTGAAACTTATCGCGTGTTTTAAAACACAAAATCTTAAACACTAAATATAAGCAAATGGAAAGGATAAAACCAAGCCAATGTTTGTTTTCAATTTTCTAAACTAAGCCAACTTTCTTTCAATTGAATGGAAATCAAACTGGAAAAACAGTTATGATCGGGGGGGGGGGTCACAAGAGTAAGCCACCCATTTTTCCCCCCCCCCATTTTTGTTTAAATCTCCAGTATAAAAAAGTTCCACTGGTACAAAATGCGTGCGTACAATCAAGTTTTACAAGCAGGAAAGCCTGTGGTTGGTTACTTGGTTGGTTTGTTTTATTTTCCTCATTTCGTTTTCCATTTTGCTTTTGGCTCAAATTCCATCAAACAGCAAACTCCAAATGCATCAACAAAACAGAAACAATACTCAAAATGGTCTTACAGTTTCTCACTACATTGCAGTAACTTTGGCTTTTCTTAGACAAAATAAAAATAGAAGCAAAAACCTAGGTTATAATCCATTTGTACCACAGGCTCAGCTCCCATACACTGAGAATTCATAGAGGATTGAAGAAAAATCTGCTTTTACCTTCTGCACAGGAATGCAGGACTTGTCAAGACGCTGAAGGGCCTGGTTGTCACAGGAAAACCCTCCTCTCTTAATTCGTAGGGGGTCAAGAATAATTTCCATGAGCAACACTGAGCTCTGCCGAGCCCGAAGAATTCCCTGAGCATGAATGCCACATCTGTGGTAGGAATGGATCATTTCCTGAGTTTTTGATGCTCTCAACTTAAAAAAGTTGTCATTAGTTGACAAACAACAATTTCTCACAGCACAACGTCCTCCCCACCTCCCCAAAACCTGGTACACAGGATATGACATTATTCAGAAAAAACAATGAAATTACTTAATTTTTTTTTGTTAATTAGCACTTAAGTTAATAGAAACAGAAACAGCAACATGAGCCAAAGAGTAGCACAAGCTGAGAAATAACCCCTATGGTGAAAGAAAGATGAACTTGTTACACCTTTGAATATGGCAATTTCACGTAACTAATTTGGTTGGGAAACTACTGTTTTGTGCTTTCAGAGTTAAATTTTGAAATGCAACCATTCCTGGTTTTATTATTATTTTCTTTTTCCTTCCTCTATAAATAAAAGCCCTTTGCACTCTCACAGTTTCCCTTCAACGTTTCATCTTTTATATATGAAAGAACTTGTGTACAACAAGTGCAGTGCATAAGGCCTTGGTGTGAAGCTATAATTTTGCTAGCTGGTTTTTCCCTTGTAATCTTTTATGCTGCAAATGCAGCAGCGGTGTTTCTATTCAGGGGTAGAAATTGTTGAGAAAGTGACAGCTTTTATTTCCTCTTTATGCCTGTTCCTTCTTTTCCTCCCAGTACTTTGTCCCTAGGAAAATGGACCAATATTGCAAATTAAACTTCTCTTTGAAAATCAAGAGTTCCCTTGGGGCTGCGAAATGAACAATGCCTGGGAAATAATGAGCAATGGGGCTGGCAAGGAGAGAGAGAGAGAGAGAGAGAGAGAGAGAGAGAGAGAGAGAGAAGAAAGTTTCCCACTTGGATAGGTGCAAATTCATAAGAGAGAAGTTATGGAGTTTAGCACCAGCAGGACAAGGCATTCATAATTGTGTTGCCATCTAAGTGCAGTTAATTACACATGTGGCTGCCATTTTAACAGGTTTGATCTGGGGTTTTGCAACAAGCCACAGTTGACGTGAAAGAGGTATGAGTTTTCTTACGTGGGATCTGATTTTCAAACAGTATAATTATTTGGGAAATTTTAGATACTGAACTATAATAATGTCCTGGAAAAATGTTTCATGATCTCCTATTATATTACTATGTCAACAACTGAGCAAGAAAAATGGTGTAACAAGCACAAAATTAGCCCTCAAGGGTTCAGCAATGCCCCAGAAGAAGAAACACAAAGACAATCATGGAGCACTTATCTATTAACTGAGAATGTCTCTGTGTTAGAATTCTTTTTCTTGCTTTCTTCTCTCCCACTCTGCATTATTTGGATTCTAGTGCTTGCCATCCACGGCTTCTCTAAAAATAAAAATACTTTCTCCTCCCCCTTTAGAAAGAATGCAAAAGCAAACTGGGTAGATTATCACCTGATTTCTTAAAAATAATTTATATGGGGAATTGTGGGAAAGAGGAAAAATGGGAGATGTTTTAAATGAGAGTGAAAAGGATTAGACAATAGGAAATGATTTTGGCACTTTAAAAAAAAAAATCAGTAGCATGAAAAGCTGCTGAAATAATTTTGGCTTGAAAAGAGGTTTATATTTGCCATTACAGAATACCAAAATTTAGTTGATGAATAGGAGTGCTATTCTGTTTGATCCAACTTAAAAGAAACAAGGCAATGAAGTGTTATCATTCCTTGGTTTCTTCGTTATTGTTCTGCAAAATCTAAGGATTTGCAGAACTTTCCCTTTGATGTGAACAGATAGTAAGTAAGTAGTACAGTACATGCTTGCAGGGTTGTGCCCACATATTGTTTAGCACAGATACAAAATAGCCAAGCAACTACCTTTATGTTTCATAATTTTCTACTGAGGGAACATGCAGCTTTCTGAGTTATGCAGAAGTGAACAGAACCCAGCAGGAGCAATAAACATACCAACTCTGTAACTGCCTCATGTAGCAAAATTAAATTAATCCCCTGCAGCTTTTCCATGTCTTGTTTTTTACTGAGTAAAAATGGCGAAATCCCGTGGCCTCTTAAAGATGGTCATATTTACAATGGCAGAAACTTTTGTGAACTGCAGCGCCTTCAGCTGTGGATATATGGCTGCTATTAGCTCAGCTCATGGGTTCATGCTGCTTGTGGAATGAATGAGTGGTGTCACCCAAAGGATGATGTCATGGCAAATACCAGATGTGGTATATACCAAATACCAGGCAAATACCAGATGTGGTCGTGCATGAGGACAGATGTGTCCTCATGCACGATAAAAATCAAGATGGCTGTGACAACTGAAGCTCCATCTATAGATATATATTTTAAGTGCACTATTGTAGCCAGCTTCCATAGTCAGCTTCCCAAGGCCTGCAGCAGCCCCGTAACGTCATGGGCAGCAGGGCCAAATCTCACCTCAGCGGGGACCCTACATGTCAACCACCATATATGCAATTGCTTCTCAGAGCATCAACAGCTTGCATCCATTCAGAAACTCTAAAGACCTGCGTTCACAAAAACAGATTTTGGCCTACTGCGATTTGTTCTCAGGTTGAGGGACCACGGAGCCATCTTTTGCTTCTGCCTTTTTCTGGATTTGCTACAAGTCAGAAACCTGCATGTTCATTAACTACCAGGAATGAATCCTGCTGATAAAAGATACTGCTATATCTACTTTGTATCTATTGCATCGGGACCAACATAGTACAAATATGGCAGCTAGCACATCAGAGCATTTAGACGTGTGTAAACCTCACCCATAAAAAGGAGTTTAACTGCAGTGCACAAGAAAATTTCATCCAGGAAGTTCTAGTGCGCTGGATTTAATCAAAAATTCATTTAATTTTATTACAAAAATATTTTTTTTTAATGCTTTCAAATTGTGGGTTCAATTCTCCTATCTAGGAGTGGTTACACAATATATAATTAAAGAATTATTTTTACTTTTTAAATACAGAATATCATATACCAGCAGCATATTAAAAGCTCTTTTTAAGAAAAGATTTAAAAAACAAAACAAAGGAGCTCTACAATTTCTAAATATTTTTTTTTAGTTATAGATACAGAAGAACTTTAGACAGCAGTAAAATATTTTTTTTTCGTCCTTCAGATCTGCTCTGTGCATTTTTCTGATTTCAACCATGTATTAAATAAAGCACAAAAAAATTAGGTGTGTATGTGCATATGTGTATGTGCGTGTATGTATGTGTGTGTGTGTGCATATTTGTGCATGAATATACACGCACAAATATGTATGTGTGTGTGTGTGTGTGTGTGTAATGTGTGTATAAAAATAAAGAGCAAAATGGTGAATGTATAAAAGTATTAACTCTCAAGACAGCTCTGGGTGGAAAGGGTTAAAAGTTCAAAACTTTCTCACCTTAGAGGTTTCCATACATTATGAGGAAATTACATTGTGAGGTTTGCATTCACAGCATTGATGCGCAGAAGGGTTAGAAAAGGGAAACATGGGCACTTATACAATGTTTTACAAAAAACATCCAAGAGAAATAACAAACAACAACAATTTCAGGCAACAAGACCACAGGATAGCAAGTTAACAAACTTTTTAACCTCTTTTTTTTCCTTTAAATATTAGGGATTTATACAAAACACATAATAAAATACCCATGTTATCAAATTACTTCACACAAGAAACACACTGAAGCTCTAGGAAGAGAAGTACCTTTGGAATTTGGCACTAATTTTTTTTCCCCCCACTGAGTTCTTATTATTTATTTAAAAGGAAAACTGAATCACATTTTGCTGAACACAAACACATCGAAATTGTCCACAATAATATTTTTTAAAAAATTGACATCAATGCCTCACAGAAGCCAACACAAACTTAGTCTGGAATAGTTTTTATTTTTCACATGAAAACTTTTTTTTTTTTTTAATTTTAAGCAAACAACTTTTTTTTCATTTTTTGAAATTCATTTTTTTTTGTTCTGTTGTTGATCTTCAAGTAAAAACCAATTTCAAACCTGTTGTTTATAAACACAGAACACTTAAAGACCATGAGGAGCCCCCCCCCCAATGATGAGACCACAACTTAATTCACAAAAGCACCAAATGAAACAATAGCTTACAATAACCTTTCTCCTGTACATCGAAACAGTATAAAATATAGGTAATTTTCATGTGCATTAATTCATGGATTGTCTAACTTGTGAATCAGTTCAGCAAAAGGTGACAAATAGGTAGCATTTGCCCTAAAACAGGGTAAATATTTTTTATACTAATCTACAAAAAGTGGTTCTATATATATATATTCTTAATGAGAAAGTGAGCCACCTAAAATGGCCTTATCAAAAAACTTTACACTGCCTGAAAAATGTAAAAACTATTACAGACCTCTAGAGACTTAAAATCAGACAGTTCTTCATTTCAAACTATTTCGGAAGTAGTCTGTTAGAAACCAACATTCTGTGCCTGTGTGGACACATATTGCTATGTCATTAAGAGACCAGCTAGAATGCCAGCCTCATTCTAATACTTTCAAGTCTGTTTTTTTTTTTACAGAAAAAAAGAAAAGAATAAAAGGGGGGAAAAAAGGAAAAAAGGAACATCGAAAACTTTAAACAAAACATTTTGCCACAGGTTGTGTGTGTGTGTGTGTGTGTGTCTGTGTGTGTTAATACTCCTATCATAAATTTGACTATGAACAAATTTTGATCTTGCATAAATGCAGCAATGCTTTTCACATTGACTTCCCAGAATTCATATAGCTAGATGAGGTCACATGCAAATTTCAAAGGTTCAAACTATAGATCAAAGATCAGTAGGAGAACCAAATTATGATGTGAGGTCAGAAAGACATCAGAAACAATGACGGGACGATGAAACTTTTTTAAGACGTCACAGGGACATGCTAGGCAAACGATGAACTAACGGGCATGAAGATGTCTAGGGAAAAACAAGGAAGAGGAAAAAGTTATGGAGAGTCTATGCAGCAGAAACAAAAATCATTTTAATGGGTGCAGGAGAAAACTAATGCAAATTTTTTCATCATTAGAGTCCCAGCCATTCACACAATTTGCATTAACTGTACACTTGGTCAACAACGGCCACAATGAAAGAGCCCCAAAGAATCCATTAGAAAGGAGGATTTTTTTTAAAAAAAAATTAAAAATGGATTCTTATTTCATTTGGGGAAGGAAAAGGGTGGGAAGGAATCCCACTTCAACAGAGGTAACATCAAGAGGAATAGGAAGTGGATTGAAGGGAATTAAGAGAAAGAGTGAGAGCAAAAAAACAAACAAACAAATCCCAAGACAACTAAATTTTAAAGTAGATAATGGAAAGAACGGACAAGTTAACAAAGACAAAATACAAACAAGAGGAGAGAAATTATGAACCATAAAAGATGTAGGGTTCAACGGTGAAAAAGCACCCATTCTTGGCACGTGTACTCTAGAGACTACTTCAAAATGATCTAGCTACCAGACAGAGCTGGTCTTTAGGTATCCAATAAGTTAACAATAGGCAATAAATAACTTCCATTATTTCTGAGGCAGTAAAAATTTTTGTATAAAAATAGAAATGCTTTTTACAAATAAAATTTACAGGCCTGTGGCTTTCTTTTGTAACTATTATTATTATTATTATTAAATTTTTATCTTTCAAGAAACATCAAGTATTGTCATTCTTTTTTATTTATTTATTTTTTAAACCCTGTAGCTTTAGAAACAGATCTCTATGTCTTTTTTTATACTAATGCTCTTTAAAAAAAACCTGAAGAACTTAAAAAACAAAAAAGGAAAACAAAACACAAATAGGTAAAATATATAAAGACAACCAGTGTTTAAACAGGATAATGTAACCACGTGTCAATCTGAAGCCCTAAGAATGGTAAATATTAAAGCTTCTTAATAAGAAGAAAGAAACAAACTGAAGTAATGGAAAAATTGTGTTCTAAATGAGTCACTTTCTTGGCCAAGGGCCATAGCTTTATTAAGCAATTTCAGAACTGGTGCCATTCGGATAATTCAGGATTGCTTTCATTATCCTCATCCAAAGTGTTAAGGACACCAGGGCCTAGAAAGTCAAGTTGCAATTTTTCTTTTTTGACAGCTCTAATTATTAAGATTGTAGCATGTGGATGGGTGCTTTCCCTTCAATGCTCATTAAAATAAAAGAAAAAAATCTGAGTTGCTAATTCAAATCTTGTAGGTCATCCCATATTTTTTTTTTTTTTTTTTGGTTAGGTTAGCCAAGTTTCTCTTAAACAGGTGGGGGAAATGGAAGCAGGATTGTCAAATGGCTGTCTCTTAGAGGTGGCGGGCCAGGTGTTCTTATGTTCTTTCTCAACCCCACCCTAAGCAAGGGTGGGCTTGCTCAAGAGACTTACCCTAAGGAAACTAAATTAAGAGCAGAAAGCTTCTGGGAGAACGGTCAGTAAGGTTTGCTGTCATTTTTTGAGCGCTTCAGCTGTACTTTCAGGCGTTTCATGCCGATTTGAAAGCCGTTCATCGCCTGTATTGCAGCTTGTGCCGAGACAGGATTGTCATAGCTAACAAAACCTAGAATGCACAAAAGTAGGTAAGGGAGGGGGAGAGAGAGAGAGAGAGAGAGAGAGAGAAATGAGTGCATAAGAATTATCAGAAAATCGTTAGCACTCGGATTCTTTCACAGTGTTTTCCACCATAAAGACTGAGAAGCATTTGGTTTCCTTTCTTCAATTCTGTCACTTCTACTTGCTTCCTAATTCCCTTACTGTCACTTCTGTTTGGTTTCTCCTTTGTGGATTTAATAGGCAACTTTCTCAATTGTTCCTCCATTGATTACAAAAATCCAAACTGTTTTTGGATGTAGTGGTACATTTAGTATTTTAGTTCCAAAATGACACAGTGGAGACATCATTTCAGACTTTGGGGTATAAGACATCAGACCTGCCAGATACCTTGGATAAAAGGGATACTATTTTATACCCACTTAATTTTTTTATTTTTATTTTTTAATTTTGATTTGTCAATCGCTTACAAGGTACAGGTATAAAAATAAATATAGTTTTGAATACATGAGATAGATACCTATAAGAAAAATAAAAAAAACAACAGGACAGGGACGGTAAGCACGATTGGTGCGCTTATGCACACCCCCTACAGACCTCTTAGGAAAGGGGTGAGGTCAATAGTAGACGGTCTAAGGTTAAAGTTTTTGGGGTTTGGGGAAGAAACCACAGAGTCAGGTAGAGTATTCCAGACATTGACCACTCTGTTTCTGAAGTAGTATTTTCTACAGTCAAGTTTGGTGCAGTTAATCCTGAGTTTGTAGCTATTGTGTGCTCTTTTATTGTTATGATTAAAGCTAAAGTATTCATTTGCTGGTAGGACATTGCAATGTATGATTTTATATATATTTATATATATTAATTTCATAGACATTGAACTGTAAGGTAATAACATTTGGTTTGCAAATCTTACTAACCTAAAAAACAAAACCAAAAGCCTTAACCATACATCATATGTTGTGCTAGTGCATCTACAGGTAGTCCTTGACTTATGACCACAATTGAGCCCAAAATTTCTGTTGTTAAGTGAGATATTTGTTAAATGAATTTTGTTCCATTTTATGACCTTTCAGATGTTAAGTGAATCACTGCAGTTGTTAAGTTGTGGTACAGTTGTTAAGTGAATCTGGCTTCCCTGTTGACTTTGCTTGTCAGAAGGTCGCAAAAGGGACCATGTGACCCCGGGATGCTACAACCATTATAAATATGAACCAGTTGCCAGGCCTCTGAATTTTGATTACATGATCCCAGAGATGCTTCAATACTCATACGTTTTAAAAAATGGTCATAAGTCACCGTTGTAACTTTGAATGGTCATTAAATGAACTCTTGTACCTTGAGGACTATCTCTACTAAGTTTCAATTAGCATAGGACTATGTTGGGGAAACAGGGGCAATATGTTATCAGGATCTGTTCAGCTAAGAGACAGAGCAGGAGAAAGTGGAAAAATAATTATGCCATTTGGACTGAAGGCAGCATACACTATTTGCAATGTTTATTCCCCCAAATTCTTTTAAAGAAAATAATTAACACAGAAGAAAATTTATAATCTAATTCCTTCCATACGACATTGGCTTGACAATAGAAGAGTTGTCAATTTATTTATTTTTATCAATAAAATTCACAAAGTATGACCCATGTGCAAAAAATATGGACCAGCACATTAATGATTTATTATTTTATTATTTTATTCCAGTCTTGTGCTGGCTTTAAAAGTTCATAAAAAATCCTGGTGCTATTTGCCACCACTATTTTTTTCTTCTTTTGAATGTTGGAGTGTCTCTTTTCTCAAGATTAAAGAGATACATTTTTTTTCTTTGTAATTTGTAGCACAAATTATGTCTATCAAAGAATTAAGTAAAGCAATAGAATATCAAAATAATTTGATTATAATACAACAGATTGTCTTTCCTAATCTTTGTTGTTACAAGTTCATAATTATTCTGGATATGTTTTATTATATTTACTAATTAAATTAAATATGCTTTTAATTGTTAAAAAATGCACCCTGTCAAGTAGATTATATAATATCTTGTAGAACAAATAAACAAAGAGCAATGCATACATAATAAAGGGAAAAACAAAAGTCATTAAAGGTATGGAAGATTAGAAGAAAAAAGTTTTGAATGTCCTAAAATCCAATGAAATGCATTCTGGGGTGGGAGAAGATATTTAACTATTCTTTTTATTAGACTATGCACTAGTTCATTCCATTTTGCTTTATATTCAGTTCCTATTTTTATTCTTCTCTGTTAATATTCCACTTTGATTGAATTATAACATCATCATAGGAAATAATGCCCTGAAGATACACGAAGGCTATTGATATTTCTTAGGCACAATGATACAATTTTGGCTGCAAATTTGCATAAAATGGGGAAACTAGAACTAGCATCAGAAGGAATAATTATTTAACAAATACCGTATGTGAATGTGACTATATTGCATTTAAGAGAGTCAGTTTTGGGCAGTGGTTAAGACATAAGGCTAGAAACTGTGAGACTGCATAAAGCCAGCTGGGTGACCTTTGGCAAGTCACTTTCCCTCAACCTAGGAATGAGGCAATGGCAATTTATTTCTGAAAAATCTTGCCAAGAAAACTTTAGGGACTTGTCTAAGCAATCTCTAAAAATCAGGTACAACTGAGTGGAAGGAAAAAATGTATTTGCAATGCAACTGCATAGTCTTTCTTAGAGCAGGAAATATTATTTAATATAATCTGCAAATAACAAGTTAAACATGGAGAGGCGTTTTTTTTTAAACACAATAGAGAATAATTAGACATTCATAATAAGGTGCCTTGATTGTCTAATAAATGACATTCCTTTACATAGGATGTAATTAGTTTTATGCATCTGACAGTTTTGTTGTGCTTCTAGGAAAATATTTTTAGGCACTTTTCCTGATTCAACCACAAATGCTTGTACTTTTCAAAATTAATAGGAGCTGCTGTGAAGAAAAAAAACTTTTCACTTTATTATGGAGCTTTCACAATTTTTCCTTTCCCCCCCCCACTGAAATGGTTATAGAGGACAAAGCAAAGAACACCTCCTTTATCAAGAACATAAAGTTAAATCTATTTGGTGGAGAATGACTAGGAGTGGATGTTAACCAATGTCTCTAACTCACATCAGCAATAAATCCTAGGTGGTGACCCTTACAACTGGAAAGAGCCCTTGAGGCTATCAAGTCCAACCCTTTGCTCAATTAAAGTTAAGATTCGCTTCACAATTCTGGCAGGAAAAGTCATAAAATGGGGCAAACTTAACAAATGTCTTGCTTAGCAACATAAATTGTGGTTATAAGTCAAAGGCTACATATATGTATACATATATGTATCATCATCATCATCATCTATCCACTGCTGGATGAGGACCTCTTCTGCTTGTTTCCAACCAATACAGTCCTGAGCTTTCCTTTGCCAATTGGGTTCACAATACGTGTTGTTGTATACAATATGTATATGTGTATGTATACATATGTGTGTGTTTGTTTGCACGTGTGCATGTACAATTTTGAAGGAAAATGTCTGCCCTAAAGAGAAGAAACAATGTTCAAATAACCAACTCTGGATCACATTAGAATGATGACTAATGTAAAAAAAGATATATCTACAATTCTCCCTGGAAGGCAAGATACAACAATAAACGTTGAATCTAAGTTGTCCGTTTGGGAAAAGCGAGGAAGATAAAAGGGTAGATAGTATGTTAGATTTTTGATGTTCTGTACTGAATGTTACATACCAAAACACTTGCTCAGATTAGTCTGTTTGTCAATGAAGACCTTAGCAGAAATAACATTTCCAAAAGGCATAAACATCTGCAGAATGTCCTGGTCTCCAAACTCTTGTGGGAGATGATAAATGAAAAGGTTTGCTCCTTCTGGACCTTTTAAGAAAAGAGAGAACAGGCAGCCAGAATCAGCTCTTTCATTTTATGCTGAAAACATTCACTAAGCATAATTTAGCTCAGTTTGTCCCTCTGTGGTGTCTTCCAAATATGTTAGGACTGGAAGGGAAACAAAGGTGTTTTATATTTTTACCCAAGATCTCACCCACCCTCCCCCATAAATTGGGTCCATTGGAGTTGGGTGGCCCAATAAATTTAAATGGAAGAATTGAACGGATAAGGAAATTTTAAAATGAAAAGAATTATGGAGCAGTTGAAATATTTATTTTTTACATTCTCTATAAAATGGTTGTAGTATGAAAGAAACTGGCATTTATTCAAATTTATTATACTTGTCCAACTCAAATAGACTATCTCAATACAATTTTCAGAGGTCTGTGAAAATGATAAAATAACAACAACAAAAAAAAAAACACACACCAAAGCATCAGAAAAATGCTGATAGAGAAATTATTTAGAAAACAAGAATTCCTGGACATTTTATATGCCAAAATATGTATTTTAAACTTTTGTCAAAGCTGTTTGGAGAAAAATAATCCTCTTTGTTACATATCTGTTGCATAATATGGAAAATAAAGTTTAAAATACTGCTTTTTATTTCAGCACAATACTGATTATTTTTCACATTAACTTTTTACCTTCTTGGTTCTCCTAAATGGGTAAAAATGCTACATTTCTGCCAAGTCCATATGAATAAACTCTAGAATGCAACTTTTTATAGCAAACTTTTTTTTATAATCTGTTATAAATCTGGTTATTTATGTTATTAATTTTACATGTAGCAAAATGGCTTTATATTTATATACAATGTGGGATATAAAATAATTATCATTATTATTTGTAGTCAATTTACTCTCCAAAATTTCATTTTTTCTGATTGTATTAGACTTTTGGGAAATTATAAATATCTCTCTGGGATTGCAATTGGCATGATGGCCAGAAAGTTATGATGATTTGATTCCTCTATTATGTCTGTCTGTCTGTCTATTTATCTTTCTCTATCATCTATCTAGCCATCCACCCATATTTATATAGCTGCCCATCTCAAGGGTTTGAATGTATTTTTACATGTTTGTGTTCTATATTTCGTACTGCTGACTTCTTTATTTTTTTTGTCTTAATTCCTGCCTATCTTTCTGGTTCCTCTCTACGGAGCTAAATTCCTCTTTTGATTGTGTTCAATCTGTCTTTGATCTTTCTGTAGTTTCTGCTTTCTATTTTGTTCAAGTCTTGACTTGTTCTTCCCCTTTTCCTAGTGGGGTTTCTGGGTTCTTCACCTTTCCCACTCTTGGCTCCCATCTGAGGTAAACCTTTCCCTCACACAATTCTGAGGGAGTATTAAAAAATGCCTTTCTCCCCGCCATTTTCCTCAGCTGCTGCTTCCTTTCCCTTGCTGTTTCTCATTAGGGCTGTCTATCCTTTAATTTTAATTTTTAATTTTAATTTTGAGTTTTGGCTCTGTTTATTTATCTTCATGAACTTGTCTTCCTTCCTCCTCTCCTCCTTCACTGCCACTTGTTCAACGCTGCTGTTTGATTGGCTGTTGCTATTGGATTGGCAGTTGGGTCATCCTAGCAACGGGGGGGTGGGGGGGCAAAAAGAAGCTCAGGTACTTATTACCTGCTCAGGTAATCTGTCCTGAAGGAAGAGAAAGGAATTGGTAGAACTAGCACGGTGAGTTTGCTCCATACATACATAAAGAGTTTCTTTAAAAAAAGGGTCCCACATAGTGGGCCGTTCTTCATATGCCCATTTTAATATTATTTTAATATATTATTTTAATATTAAAAAGCTTTAAGTGTTCTGTGAGTAGCAGGTTCTATTATAGGCAGAAAAAAACAGTGGGCCATCAAGACTGCTTGCTTGCTTATTTATATTTTATTTTTTTACTTTTACTTTTTCTTAGATGATGGACATGTGTTTATCCAGAGACCCTCAAATAATAAATTCCAATCTTACGCAGGAGAAAACCTGAATAACCAAAGATACACACACACACACACACACACACACACACACACACACACACACATTCTGAGGTTTTCGCGGGTATTTGTATGTGGATCTTTGGAGAAGCACAATTTATATATATATATATAAATGGTAATATATAATAAATCAAATTTATTATTTGAGGGTCTCTGGATAAACGCATTGGAAGAATCTCATCTGCCATCATCAGGCTTGTGTATTGTGTTTGTCTGTGAGTCAGGCTTTCACAGCTGTTTCTGTTTTAAATTTGGTGCCAGCCTTGTGCTGTGTTAGAATGGTTTTTCCATTTACTTATTTCAACAAAAAAAGAAAATAAGTCAATTGGATTCTGCTTTCCTTTAGCCTCCTGCTCCTCCTTGTGGTTTATTACAACCAAGGGCTTAGGAAAATGGCTTATCCAATTTGGAGCGGTCTTCTTTAAAGAGTATCGATAACTCTGATGGCCCATGAACACTTGACCATTGAGGCAAATCGTCACACCTATTTTGTATTGTTTCTTTTCAGTCCCAAAGGAGCAAATACAGATAGTCCTTGTTTGCTATGGGGCTGTTTTTGCTGAAATTTGAAGTAAATGCTGTTTTTTGTGTGTGTGTGGGGAGCATTTCAATGGTTAAAAATGCGGGCTGGTTGCCGCATGTTCAAAATACGACCACATCATATGGGTGGGGGGACTGACTGATATCAGAATTTCAAAACTGGAATGTAAGTAACTTTTTTTGGGTGGCGGGCATGGTTGTAACTTTGAACAGATCTTAAGCAACCAGTCATAAGCCAAGGACTACCTGTAATTAGATCGAAGAAAAACACTTCTCTAAAGTAACTGTGCTTGACGGACAGGTAGAAACCCAAAAAATGAATGGATAGGGGAGAAGCCTCCCCCCCCCCCGAACATCTTGCAATTAGCATTAATTTATTCTCAGCATTAACTTTCTGGATTTCTTTTGCTCCATCAGCACCTCATATGAAGCAATCAATCCTTTATTTGCTTCCTCTCAAGACTCTCAAATAAGCGACCCTTCATTATAACCACGATAGATTTGGTCATTAACCTCGAAATGCTATTTAGTTATAAAAGCTATATGTTTGTAGTGTACATGCAAATCCAGATAGGGGAGCTCCTTCCCCACCAGAAATGGGAAAAGAATTCAAGGATGGTTTGAACCAGAGCACTTTTTATTTTTTGCAAAAGCAGCAGACAATATCTGTTTTTGTATTAGAAAAGCAGTGGGTGGTAACATTCTTTGAACAAGTGCCTGAAAGGAATTTTGTGTGCTGGGAAATTAAATATTTATAGGGTTCCTATATATTCTCCATGCCAAAGGTTTCTATGCAGGCACGACTGCTTAGGTGCAGCTTAGTTCCAGTTCAGTGTCAATTTTGATGAGTCAGTGACTTTGGTTTTAGGAATCACAAGCTTTCCATTTTTCTGCAGTGAGGTATTCCTTAACAATCTAAACTAACTAGATGATAGCTCCAGTATATCCAGGTGAATCATTGGCCTGTAGGCTCCTCTGAGAACCATATTTCCATATTAACATCACTTTTTTTTTGCTAGGATAAGACAAGCATAAGAAAACGATAATAAGCAAATGTTGGGCTAATGAGGAAAAAAAAACTCAACATTGCTCTGCCTTATTCTTTAAAAATTGAAACATATTGTACATGGTGCTCTCTGAGCTTGGTTGTTTGCTGGGAGATGTTTCATTACCCAACCAGCGTACAAAGATGAGAGCAAGTTTGGTCCAGTGGTTAAGGCACCGGACTTGACACCAGGAGACAGTGAATTCTAGTCCTGCCTTAGGTATAAAAGCCAGCTGGGTGACTTTGGGCAAATCACTGTCACTTAGCCCAACTCATCTCATAGGGTTGTTGTGGGGGAAAATAGGAGGAAGGTTTGTGGATATGCGTGCACTGCCTTGAGTTATTAGTAAAAATAATGGAAATGGGATATAAACAAACAAAAATGTTACTTATTCAGATAAGAAATGCCTGCAAGCCAACACCCAAGCTCAAAGAGCACCAAGGACTGGAGCTACATATATTCTCTTCTGCCATACCCTAATACTTCGCAATTATTTTCATCCATTGTAACACAAGTCCTGGGTACTGAGAGGACATCATGGGATAAGAAAACTCTACTTAATGATGGAGTTTAATACCGTAGCAGCAGTTGTACTAATAAATTTAATTTCAGAAGACCATTAAGTTTCATTTGTTCTTGGTTTTGAATTAAGAATCTCTTCCTTGCCCCCTTTTTGCATTCCCTCCCCCCATGGCCTACCTATCTTACCTTCTTTCTGGCTGCCTGCAGCACTTTGTTGTTGTAGCAAACTTTGACTGTATAGTGTGGGCAGTGCCGCAGCGGCATACTGCTGTATTCCTGAGTAGGCTTGGGTGAGGGCATCCATTGTGCCAGCTGTACCATTGGTCAAGCCTGTTGCACCGAGTCCTCCATTCAGGGCAGCCATACCTGAGAGCATTTGAGCAACTTTACAAAAAACCCAACAATAGAGAAAAGAAATTGCACTTATTCATTAGTGCTTTCCAAACATTGTTAGCATTAATATGACACGGACAACAATGGCCGGGCATGCAGATAAAACATAATAACCACAGCAGTAAGAATAACAATAATACAAATCAGTCACTTCACCAGATAGCACAGTTAAAAACAACAGGTAGGACAACATCCAATCTATAAAGACATATAAAGATTGAGGTTAGGAGTTATTGTTCATAGCAACTCAGTTTCCCATGCAGGCAGCATTCGACAAAAATTGGGGTCACCAGAAAACCTGTTTTATGATTTATGGCATCTTCAAAGCATCACACAAACATCTTTAAAGTAATATAAAGGCTGTCCTCATTAAAGTTTGTTTTGATGCAATTACAGATTCTAGAAGAATGTTTCTCCACCTGGTCAACTTTGAGATGAATGTATTTCAACTCCCAAAATTCCTAACCAGCATAGCCATTGCTAAAAATCTTGGGGATTAAAGTTTACACATCTCAAAGTTATCCAGAAGGAGAAACACTATTCTAGATATGTGTCTAGATAACCAAAGAATCTGCTACTATCAAGAATGAACCAGAGTTTTGTTGCCAATTCAGCTCGTGTAACTGAAAACTAGTAGGTCAGGACAGAGTGTTTCTGGGTAACAACTGGGAAACCTTTGGTGGCAGCTAGGTACTTTGAGAACCTGCTGTGCATCATCTCACAAAATGGCTGCACTGATAGCTTGTTTTTTCTCAAAGTGACACAGGAGGCCCATCATAAAATACCTATCCCAGCTGGTGGGACAAAAAAGAAATTCCCACTCAGGGGTCCCTGATTGTCCCATCTGCAGAGGAAGCATTGCTCAGCATTTTCATATTTTCTTCTGGAGCCACAGCTTGCAAGTCTCAGAGTGACCTTAGTTTACTAAAATTACTGGAATTCTTGAGATAATCAAGAATTTCTCCCTTGCTGTGGAGAAATCTGATGCATCCTATTGATTTTGTAATTGTAACCTTCAGTAGATTATTCAGATAATTACAGAAGAGTTGGAACTGAGCACGGGAGCCATCTAATTCAACCCGCTCCTCAGTTAAAGGTCCACTACAGTATCATTGGCAGATAAACCTTCAGCTTCTCTTTGAAGATCTTCAGTGAAGGAGAAATCATCGCATTATGTGCTGGCCTGATCTACTGTCAACAGCTTGTGCAATCTGGATGTTTTCCTGAAAAGGAACCTGAAAGTCTTTCAGCCCATTGATTCTGGTCCTGATCTCTAGAGCAGCAACCCCCAACTTTTGGGGTGCCATGGACTGGATCCATGGAGGTTGCTTTTTCTGCAGACTGGGTTTGTGTGGTTTTGCATGCTGCCTGAATCTCGCATATGCACGGTGGGGCTTTGCTCGCTTGCATGGCCTGATTCTTGGTGGGCCACGGATCAATGCCGGTCCACAGATGGGGGGGGGGTTTGGGGACCCCTGCTCTAGAGCAATGTGTGACCCATCCACCTTTCAGATATTTGAAGACTGCTATCTTATTTCTCCTTAAAGTTAGTGGATAATAAAATATGACTGAAATGGTTACTTAGTTTTATTTAGGACTCTTAAAAGAAAAACATCCTTGCAGTGATATTTATGGATTCCAATCACCAGATAAAATTGGCAAACAAATTAGTAAAAAGTAAAAAGCTGAGATTGTATGTTATCATCTTGTTCTGCTGTGCCAAAAGAAAGGAGTTGGAAGTCAATGCTTTTCTCAATGCTTTTCCCTCCCCTTTCCCCTACTCTGTTTCTTCTTCCCTTTTCCCTCCCCTATTGTCCCATTATTTCAATTTTTCTTTGTTATCTCTGTATTTTATATTTTGATAAATTAATACAGGTATGAACAATTGGGAAATTAAACTTGCTAAGCTAGCCTGGTTCTTTTCAGACATGCTGGACCTCCAGTGGTAGAATTTCCAGCGAATATCCCCTTTGGGAGACGCAATCTTAAAAATATTAGGAAACCCAGATGCTATAGAAGGCTTTGTAAAAAAAAACTTCTAAGGAGGCACAGAAACCTTGAATCTGAACAGCTCTCTGCTAGGTTTGTCCATTAAAATTTCCAACGTATCTCAATGCCCAGGATATTTTAAAAAGAAAACAAAAGGAATGGCAGCTCCCTTTCAGTGGCTTTAATATTTTTACCCACAAATTGCCTGTTATAGCAATTTAAGTTTAAAGGTGATGCAATATTGAAAAAGCCTATGAAATCTTCTGCACATGTCTATCTCCTACCCTTCCTTGCAACACCCCCCCCCCAATCAGCTCCTTTTCTTCAAGACTGAATAGTTGTTGCTATTGGATCAAAGCTGCAGAAAAGTGATTTGAGGAACAGACTACAAATAAATAATACAGGACCACCAGTGTTATTTACTTGCAGTCAAATCACATTCCTGTCTCTTTTAATCTTCTTGTATAACCTTTCTCCTAAACCTTTGCATTGATGTCAGTTTTACAAGGAAAAAGATAACAGAGAGGAACAATTCTGAGAATTGGGGTAAGAAATAACGAGGCAACTGCTGTGCAGAGAACTTAAAGAAAGCAACATATCTTGAAAAAAAATATTTCTTCTGAATGGGCCAAGCAGCCCCCTACATCAAAAACCCCCAAATCCTATGGTCATGCTCAAGTACAGACATATGAGAACATAGTAGCTAGGAATTTTGAAGAAAGGGAGAAGGATATCCAAAATCATTATTAGTGAGAGGAA